CACGCGCGGTTGCCCGCGCCCTCGTGCGCTCTACCCTACCTGCTCCGCGCTGTTGCTCTGCACGCGCGGTTGCCCGCGCCCTCGTGCGCTCTACCCTACCTGCTCCGCGCTGTTGCTCTGCACGCGCGGTTGCCCGCGCCCTCGTGCGCTCTACCCTACCTGCTCCGCGCTGTTGCTCTGCACGCGAAGTTGCCTGCCCCCCCTGGGTCCCCTGGACAGGAGGGTGTGGGGGTGGCGGGTGTGGGGGTGCTCCGTGTGCGTCGCCCCTTCCTTCTCCTCCGTCTCCCACTGCTGCAGCTGCCGCTGCGGGGGTGGATGTGTGGGAGACGAGGGAGTGGCGCTAGGGGGGTGATGTGGGCGTGGAGCGAGTGGTGACCCTGGGGGTGTGTGTAGGGGGGAGTGAGACAGTTGGAGGAGGTTGCAGCCTGGTGCTCCTGGTGCCCGTGTGTCTGCAACTTCAGTAGTCGCCTCCTCTCTTCTCTCCCTCCACAGTTCCTCCTCCTCCTCACTGGCCTCCTGTGACTGCCACTAACTTTGCTGATAATTGTGAACTATTGCTGTGACTTCTCACGTGTGCTGATTACACCCCACTTTGGCTATGGGGGTGTGTCAGATTATGTTATTTGTCTAGCCTGCAGTGGGGTGCTCAATAGTGAGTACAACCCCTTAGGGTTTCCTATATGTATCCTGCTGCTTGCTAGTTCAACCCACCATTCTCCATTCTCTCTTCTCCAATTCTCCTTAGCATACCCAAAACCCTAGTCCTAGGGCACATCCTACCTACTCTATGTGTGGGCCTAGGCTACTAAGCCTAGGCCCCACTCCTAGTATTCATGACAATGCCTTGGGCTTTCACACGATCACTCGGTTGTTCTTTGCTGGCTCTGCAATTTGGTGCAGATCGAATTTTCACGCTTAAAATATTTTATGTGTGGTTTTCGTGCTCACTGCGTTTTAGAATTGGGGCGTGAAGTCGAATACCTCGTGAAACCGTGGGGAGATGGGGAAGCAGAACACATTCCACTGCCTGCATGAGTGAAGCAAATTGCAAACAGGCCGACAGGTTTTCGCAGGGGCACCATGCCAGGAGGGAACGGATTTTGCGAACGCGGGAAATTGACCTGGAGAAATTGGTAGGGGTCCTACACTTGCTACGATGACGGGTAACCAGTCGGGTGCATGCTGCGTCAACCTATCCCAGCCCTGGTCGTCGGTTGGGTCACGTGGTCCCAGACGAGCTGCGTCAGTCGGGCCCGGGCTGCGTCAGCTTCCGACCGAGCCAAGTGTGATCGTGGCTCGGACCCCAGCTGTGCCCAAGGGTTGGCCGCCCGATTTCGAAGCAAAGTGAACGGCAGAGTGACCAGCCCTGGGTTCGTCCTTTTCCTGGCGTGCCCCGCATGAGGACACCGTAACCCTGGCCCATTACGGGGCCCTGGTTACGGAGGCCTGCGTGGGATTACGGGCCGTTTTTCCTCCTCACGAGGGACAGTTGGCAGAACCTGACGTGGTTGAAATCAAATTGTTTATTGTGGGCGGGTCGAGTTGAGCGAGTTGTTGGTACACCCTCATTCTCGATAGACTAGCATACGTTATACTAACCGGGACGCTTAGTGTGACCTCAACGGACCAAAGAAGGTCCTATCACATGCGTTATAGTGACAATTTGACCCAAGGCGGTCAGTCAAGGTTTAGAACTTTATAAAATGGTACTGTTGCTTTCAAAACGGTTGGGACGGTTATTCAGCGTTAACGATTTTTTGCTGTCCAATGCTTGTTTCGTCACCTCGTGCGACTTTGCCCGCAACCGAGTTATCGCACCAGCCCGCTACGTTCAAACACTGTAGCAAGTGCTTCCGCTGGTGCGAAGGCCGAGAACGAGGGTGTAGCAGAGTTGGAATGAATCGTCCTCAAACCCTCTGGCCGATGACTCACGCGTGGTACGAAAATGTCGACGATGAAGGCGACAACTTCTCTGGGAGGTTTGTCCAGACCCACCGAGCAGTTTGTCGTAATTCGCCGAGGGCTCCTGGGCAAAGATGAAAAATTGCATCTGTCTCCCCCCCCCCCCCCCCCCCCCCCCTCCCCCCCCTCCCCCCCCCCCTCCCCCCCTTTCCCCCCACCCCCCCAAACCTTCAATGTTGCCCTTGCTTCCCGCTAAAAACTCTGTGTAGTTTACGCAATGTTGCCCAGCGTCGTTGTTGCGCGCTTTTAACCAAAATGCTGAATGCTCCAAATGAATTGGCGACGCTCCCCACCGTAAAATCTCGTAAATATCGGTAAAAAACAACCCCCATAATAACGCAGTTCCAGGTGCAGTTCTCGTCCAAAAATCTCGAATGTACTATAGCCACCCACTCGATCACCATCAGTTTCCGCCGATTTACCCGACCCCAGTATTTTTATGCCGTTACCCCCCCCCCCCCCACCCCCTGCCCCCCCCCCTCCCGACAATTCCGCTTCCCGCCGTTCACCCAGCGTCCGCTTTTGTCGGATGGGGTGTTGCCGGTGTTGCCCGTGCGAACCCGGCTACGGTGGAGGGGCAAAGACTATCAAAGTCGGGGTAGCCTTAGTAAAAAGGAATCCATGCCCAACCGCTTCGCAGCCCACCGTGCCTATCACGCCACTAAACGCCGTAGCTTCCGGTCTCAGCATCACCGCTGCGCCATCAACTCGTGTAGACGCCTGGGTCAGGAGAAACCAGAAACTGCACTAATGTTGTCCTGCGGCGCCCCGATTTTTTCGCGTGCTGTTTCACCCAGCCCGCTTTTGTCGGAGTAAAACAGTGCCGCGAATTCCCCCTTTGTTTGTTTGTTTGTTTGTTTGTTTTCTCTGTACAGCTATCGAACGAGCACCAATTCAGGTGCCTTTGACCAGCACAAGATAGGCACGTGTTCACCCTCGTTATTCGGCCGAATCGGGTCGACTGCATGAGTCGGAACCAGTAATCGATGTGGATGGTGAGGTTCGGGCGAAGTAGGGCCGGTTCCACCGGCTTTTAACATACTTGTGAGTGTATGACGGCTAGCCTTACCTTTATTTACCTTATTGTGCTTTACCTTGCTTGATTTTATTTTATTATGCATGTTTTTACTTGCTTTCCTAGATTCGTTGCTTGAACTATATTTTTTATAGTTACAGGCACCGAATAGTTAGTGTGCACCGAATTATGTGATTTTTGGTTGCCACCAAATTGCCTTCTACCAAATTCAAGAAGGACCCATCCGATGACGTGTCCGCCATGCAGTAAAAGCCAATGCACTTCAAGTCGGGCGGGACGGCAGTTAACCTTCGATGGGCTGGGCTGTCGTCGTTTCGGCAACATTTTCGGACGCAAAAACTCCATTTGCGCCTGGCGGGTTCCCCCAGCTGTCTTTTCTTCAACAGTTGCCCGGAATTGTCGCCCACAGTGATTCAGGCTCGTTGTCACCAGCTGCCGAAACACATTCCGCGAGTCATGCACACAAAATGACGACGAGTCACCGTCGTCACTTGCCACATGGGACGTACTCCGAAATTGTTGCGCAGTTGTTGACCCAGGTCCGACGGCGTCAACTGCCACACACGATGACTTCGCGAGTTTCGTTCAGGTGCCGATGCAGGTCCACTGACGCCAGCTGCCACACAAAATTATCGAAATCATCGGGAACATAGTGGAAATTAAAACTCACGTTAACGTCGCGACAGCTATTGCTAGCCGTTTCCCAAGGGGAGGGAGGTTATGGTCGATCGTGTTCGTTCAAGGCAAGGATCTGGCGGTGCCAAGGAGTGCCCCGTAAAAAACATGGCCGCAAGGAGCAACTAACCCGTTCTCTTGGCCGGCCTACGCAACTCCTGGACCCCAGGACATCCTTCCTCGCCCCCCCCCCCCCTCGAGGGCTGTTACACACTAAAAAGCGGGGTAGGCTAGGAAAGTAGCTCTGATACCAGGTGTTATGAATGAACTTGCAGAGTGCGCAGCTTAATGAATAACGAGAAGGTTGAATGCTGAATGACAATACAATGCTAGTGACGAGACCTTAATAGGGGAAAACCTTGTTAGGCGAATAGGTCGGGGAGGATGGCTTGGAAAGTGTTGCAAATGGAGCGAGGCCGACTCGGGAGTGGTTCGATGCGACGGAATAGGCCGAATGTGATGGTCGTGTGGCCATCGGGATGCCATCGCTAACAACAGACTACAGTTAGGAATTCTAATTCATTACAAACAATAAGAGCATCCCGTTCAAATTGTTTAGATACCACTTGAATGCTAGAAAACCAATTAAACAAGTTTCAAGGGCAACTAACATGAGTTGTGATTGAACATTTGTTTGAAAATTTAGTCAATCTATGCCAGGGCTCTCGTTATCAGACCAAATCGGTCTGATGGTCTGATTTTCAAACCTTGACTTTTGCTTTCATCTTATTTTTAAGATAGTGCGTTTTATTTTTTCTAATCCGGAGGCCCTCAGTTATCAGCGTAAAACACGTTGACTCGGCTGATTTTGCAGTTTTTTTTTTTTTTTCAGATTCCCTAAAATTTTAGAATCCTTTCTACACCTTAGCAATGATTTTTCCGTTGGAAGTTACATGTTCACATTGACAAATTAGTGTAGTGGTGTACCAGCGAGACTGATCCATCAGTACAGAATCGGAGACCACACTGATTCGGGTACAGGTGTATTGGGGAGTTCGGCCTAAGATACCCCATCACAAAAACCAAGTGGCAAAATTGTTGCGAGGAACTTCTCAATGTGATTAGAATAACTCGTTTAAATCATATTTGGTTAAATTAAGTGTTTCTTTTTTGGACTTGGATGAGGATTGCAATATATTTTTATGTGCATAAACTAATCCTGGAAAATGAATATGCAACATTTCAGAAAAACCTAATCAGGGTCTGAAAAACACAGTTGGTAGTTTGTATAGCACTTTCCATAAAGTACCCTTACATGTCTGGCATGCACGTGTAAATCATAAGATTATTTTGAAAAAGCTTACAAAACATTAGATGCCTACTAATCATGACACCTACGCTACTACTACCCACTATCAACCCTAGGTCCGAACTACGTTGCATCCTCCCTGCTCTGCTACTCCCTGCTGCATCCTCCCTGCTCTGCTACTCCCTGCTGCATCCTCCCTGCTCTGCTACTCCCTGCTGCATCCTCCCTGCTCTGCTACTCCCTGCTGCATCGCCCCCTTGGTGTCACTCCTTTGCTTCTACCCCATGTTGTTACTACTGTGCTCCCCTCCCCTGCTATTACTCCTGCGCACCTCTCCTTGCTGCTACTCCTCTGCTCCCCTCCTTGCTGTCGTTCCTCTGCTCCCTTCCCCGTTGTCGTTCCTCTGCTCCCCTACCTGCTTTCGTTCCTCTGCTCCCATCCCTACTGTCGTTACTGTCATTCCTCAGCTCCCTTCCCTGCTTTCGTTCATCTGCTCCCTTCCCTACTGTCGTTCCTCTGCTCCCTTCCCTGCTGTCGTTCCTCTGCTCCCCTCCCCGCTGTTATTCCTCTGCTCCCTTCCATGCTGTCGTTCCTCTACTCCCTTCCCTGTTGTCGTTCCTCTGCTCCCTTCCCTGTTGTTGTTCCTCTCCTCCCTTCCCTGCTGACGTTCCTCTGCTCCCTTCCCTGCTGTCGTTCATCTTCTCCCCTCCCTGCTGTCGTTCCTGTGCTCCCTTCCTTTTTGTCGTTCCACTGCTCCCTTCCCTGCTGTCGTACCTCTGCTCCCTTCCCTGCTGTCGTTCCTCTGCTCCCTTCCCTGCTGTCGTTCCTCTGCTTTCTTCCCAGCTGTCGTTCCTCTGCTCCCTTCCCTGTTGTCGTTCCTCTGCTCCCTTCTTTGCTGTCATTCCTCTGCTCCCTTCCCTGTTGTCATTCCTCTGCTCCCTTCCCCCCTGTCGTTCCTCTGCTCCCTTCCCTGCTGTCGTTCCTCTGCTCCTATCGCCCCTCCCACTCCTACCCCTAGGCCAAGTCCTTGGGGCATGTCCGGCTCCTGATGCTTTCCGCAAGGACCCCGGCTTCCTCTACATTGGGCTCGACGCCGATGTCCAGCCCTGGACTTGCGTCCTCTGGCTTCTCCTGCGGCCCTGCCCTCGACTCTGCCATGGCGCATATGGCCTCCGAGGCTCACACCTCCAACCTGCGCGCAGCGCCCAAGGGCCCTGCTGCAAATGAAAAGTACAGCAACTGGAGGGCCTTGTTTTCGCGCGACATTTCCCCCACCTCCCTCCTTACTTTTTCTCACCTCTCTCAGCTCTCCCCCTGCCTCTGCCTGCTGTCATTCCCCCCCTTTGTGCTCTTCCTCCCTGGGAGGGTGAAGATTTCTGGTGCGTGCCATTTTCCCCCCTTGGCTGGTCCCTTCCAAACTACGCCCTCGTGTTTCCCTTGCTCCTCTGCCCCCTACTGCCTTTGCCGCTTCCTCTGCCTCCTGCTCCAGAAATTTCTTACCACGTGACTTGTGCTGCCGCCTAGGCACCTGGTCTCTTTTTTGGGGAAGCTATGGCCGCCGCCTATGCCCCCTCTCCATTACGAATGGCGTGCATTTACCTACGCTACCTGGAATGCCATTCTTGCTTCTACAAACGTCGCCTCTGCGCCCTCTCGCTATGGTCTTCCATGTTTCAGACGTTTTAGGCCAGATTCAAATTGCCACCTGCTCATTTTCACTATCCCCTGATCTCACCCATCTTCCCGCCCCGGCTGCCCCCAGGTCCGATGAGCCACCTCACCCCGGGCCTACGAAGTTAAATACTCCAGCCTCGGTGGCATTTCTCATCCCACTATCTGCTCGTCTTCCGCTTATTCTCTCCCTTCCCTCATGGCCGCTCCGATCCACAACCCTGACGATGAAACGACCCTCGTTGACGAGGACCTTCAGCTCGATGGCGAGGAACTCCACCTTGATGAGCTCCCTGCCATCTCCCTTGCTCAATCCCCCACAACTGATGAGCCCCCGACAGCCAAAAAGGTGTGCTTCGAAGCCCCTCCGCACGTGCCCGTCCCTTCGGTGCCGTCCCGCGGTGTCATGGCGGCTATAGCTCCTGCCCTGACCTGCAGCGCCTCGGGTGCCCCCTCGGGTGCCTCTTCCTCTGTGTTTGCTGCCCCTGCTCCACCCAGTGCCTTGTGCAGGCCCGCCAGTCCGATCTCCCCTCGCCTTGGCGCCGCTCTCAGAGCTGGCGTCCTCCTGACGACCCACGCTCCTGGTCCCGCGCCTTCCCGCACCCTTCGCCGTCCAAGGCGTGGCCCGGTCATGCCCCGTCGCCGTCTCATAGTGGTCACGCTCCTTCTGCCCGAGACGGGCGTGGATGCCATCCGCATCATCGCCATGCTTAAACCCCATTTCTTCCGCTGCGGCTCCGCCACCGATGAGCCGCTCCGGCTTCCGCGTCGTGCCTACACACGGCTCTGCTTTTCTTGGCCAACGGAGGAAGAGGCTGAGGACTTTAAGCACTTTTTACCCCGCTCCATCCCTCTGAATGCCTCTCGCTCCGTACTCCTTAAGGTTTTCAAAGATCGCAACCCGAGTTGCCAAAGCAGGGGGTGCCGCCACGATATCGCTCCAGAACATCCCCCCTGGGTACACCCCGGAGGACATTCGCGAATTCCTACTGCACGGTGCGGACCCGTCCGAGCCGGCTTGGCTCGCGGATCTGCAATTTTTTCACCGTACCACCGACCCCTACGAGGAGGCTTTCCTCCTCGTCTTCACTGGCATCCCTCTTCCCCCCCCCCCGGATGATCCGTCCTTCTCCCGCATCCCTGCTGCCATCCCGTTTGAGGATGATTCCCCTCCCGTCCTGCTCAACATTTCCACCCATGTCTGCGCTTACAGTGGGAACAATCACCGCGACTCGGATCACGAGACTTTCGCCTTGCCCCCTCATCCGATTTCTCCCAGTGATGCTCTATGTCTTCTGCTGTCCATATTTAACCAACCCTCCTATCTCTAACTTCGCAACTGGATCCCACCCTTTGTCTTTTTGCCGTATGTTGTTATTAACAAGCTCAGCTCCCTCCACCACCCCCTCGCCTTAGGATGCTCCCGTATTGCTCTCGTATAAATCCTTCCCCCATCCTCCCCCCCTATTCTCTGGCATACGCACTCCCCGCCGCTTGCTGGCCTCTGCCCTTCACCTTACACCAACCAGACCTAGCTCCCCCGGCCCCCTGGCCCACTCCCTTACCCGACCCCCCCTTGCCCTCCCCCTCGGCTTCTCCACCCCCTTTCCGACCCGCGCCACGCTGGTGCTGACGGCTGCTGCCTTTTCCTTCCGTACGGCACAACTGCCCCTTTGCCTTGACACGCTCTCTCCTCGTGCCCCCCGCTGCCCCCTCTTCCCATGCCTTCCCTTCACCACCTTTCCAGCGACCAGGTGGCTGCCACACCCTCACTCCTGGCTTCAATTGATATGCCTCTCCTCCCGCCCCCTCTCTACACTGCCCTGTCTCGCCCCACAGCTCCCCCCCGGCGCTTGTGCTTGTGCTTCTCCCTCGCCATGGACGCTTCAGCCCCTCGGCTCCTGCTCATTTTGTTTCTTTGCCACTCTCCCTCGCTCTCTATTCTTCTTCCCCTCTACTTCCCCTGCGGGAGCCTCTTGGTCATTAACGTTTCCACCCGTGGATTGGCTCGCTTGTCACAACATCCCCTCGTCTCCCTTCAACGCCTCCCTGCACCTTACTGAGTGCTCTTGCCATGCCCTCTTGTTTCCTCTTGTTTCAAAAGTGCGACCTGGGCAAAATACATGTGTTGGATAAAACCTCGAGGGGAAAGATTAAACAAATGCGTGTTGGAACACAAGTGGGAGGAACCCCACAAATCACTCACCACCATAATGGTCCAGGCGATGTGATATGCGTTCAAGCATATGTCGTTCCTCACTGCAAATTCACCGAAAGCGTCCATTGCTGCGTTGAAGAAGATCTCGTTGCCGAACGGGAGATCACTATCTGCATCATTTTTCCACGTGCTCAGGTGGGAGTCCTCGCCTGCGACATGCTCGAACAGAGGAGGTTTATGGGGTGGGGTGTGAAAAGGGAAGAGGGTGGATGGGCTGGTCAAGCACGGGTCCTACAATGGTCTATGTAAAGAGAAAGCCCAAAAAGGGAGAATGGTATATCGAATGTTGTAAGATGATGGTGGTAGGGTCGAGAGGGTGAAAGGAGAGTGGGGGCAGAAGGGGGGGGAATGGTCAGGCAGTTGATTTACTCACTCAGGCCATAGCCCCCCCAGAGCTCCTCCTTTAGCTCGGTGTTGATGTGGATTTCTGCTGCCCGCAAGCCGCTCATGGGAACCCCCAACCCCTCGAGCACGGTCCGCTTGATGTAAAATCCGCGCTCGTTCTTCCACTGAGTATACACTCGCTTGAATGCATCACTGCAAATTTTATCCGCCATGGTCTCCTTCAGCAAAATCAGGGGCACCACATACGGCTCAGAAATGGCTTTGTGCAAAATGGGGATCCGCTTCTCAAAGGTCGGGTAGAACGTGAGAACATGATTTTTAGCTTCCATGCACATTCGGTTCCTAGCTTCTTCCATGTAGAGCTGTTCAAAATTATGCACGAGAGAGAGTGAGAAAAAATAAGAGGGGAAAAAACAATGACACTGGAAGTGCAAATATGAATGGCTTAAACAAAAAACAAGGCAATGCAAAACATACATCGGCGGGAAGCCAGTCAACGAGGTAAAAAATGCAGGCATGGGTGTAGGAAACCAGAGAATGAGCCATTTGCCACGGATGGGCCAGTGAATGGGAACGAAAACAGAGAACGATTGTGACTACAAAACTAGTGAATGATAATGACTGGAAAACCAAAGAATGAGAATGAGAATGAACCATTTTAGAGAATGAAACCATTCATTGCAGAAGTCTAGAATTCATGAGAATGAGAGAATGAGCCATTGCAGAGAATGACGCCAGAGAATGAGAATGAGTGGGTAACCAGAGAACAGGAATGAGAATGAGCAATTGCAGAGAAGGAAGCCCGAGAATGAGAATGACTGGAAAACCAGAGGATGAGAGACATTGCAGAGAGTGAAACCAGAGCATGAGAATGCATGGAAACCAGAGACCTAAAATGGTTCTATAACCATTTAGAGAATGGAATCAGTGATTGCAGAGATTGAGAATTAGTCATTGCAAGTAATAAAACGAGGGGAACGAGAATAACTGGAAAACCAGAGAATGAGAATGCAAATGAGCCATTGCAGAGAGTGAAACCAGAGCAGGGAATGAAACCGTGGAAAGAGAATTACTCTAAAACCAGAATATGAGAATGTGAATGAGAATGAGAATTAGAAACGAGAATAAGCCATTGCAAAGAAAGAAACCAGAGAATGAGAATGAGAATGAGCCATTGCAGAGGATGAAAACATAGAATGGGAATGACAGAAAACTAGAATCCAGTTATGAGAATGAGCAATTGCAAAGAATAAAACCAAATAATGAGCAAACCAGGGAGTAGGGCATGGAAATCAGCAGGGGAGATGGGTGGCGCATAAGATCTTACCTTCAAATTGGTCGCATTTGGTATGCCATGCTTCCTGGCGATGGGTGCGCCTTGTACATCGCTCTCCTCCACCGCGACCGGTGGTTTGGACTGCTCAAGTTGTTCACTGGAGATCGAGGTAAGCGGTGGGACTTGCGTCCCGTTTCCTCCCCGATCCCCCAAAGGCCTTTAGCTTTGCAATCTGCCGTTTGGCTTCCTGCAGAGCCTGGAAGAGTTGCTGCATGGAATCATTAGGAGAATTGTTAGAGGGAATGATGGGCACTCCGCTAGCGTCGATCTTAGACTTGCCACTTGCCGATGAAGAAGGGAGTGGAGTTGCAGGGTCAGAGTGTCCAACTTTCCTTTCGTCAGTCAACCAATCTCCAATACCACCCGCATCACAATCATTCGCCCCCAGCCCCCCACCACGGGCAGGAACGTCACCACCCCCGCCTGCATTGAACGTGTTGTCATGCTGCAGGCCAACCTTCTTGCGCACACTCCGATCTCGAAATCGAGATGCATTCCTTCGCATTCCTGAGCTAGAAGCAAGGGCAGCCTAGGGATCATTGGATGTCTTCATCCGAACGGTCTCCCGACAAGTCGACGGACCGGCATCTTCCGAGTTCTCCAAGGTCCTCATCTCGTTGTAAAAGCCAAGGTCCTTTGTTGGCGTAGGACGCTCCTTACGACGCCGCGTGTAAACATCATTATTTGCGCGCTTTCCTAGAGCACGTTCTTGACGTCTCTGCTGTTTTTGCCCTTTGCATGCCTTACCAACGGTTGCATGACCACGCTTTTCGTTATAGCGGTAGTTACGCCCTCCTCGTGCCCTCCCCCCTCCCCTTTTGTCGTTGTCACTCCCTAAGCCCGTTTCTGTGTCATCACTCTCTTCCTCCTCCTCGTCATACTTCTCTTCGCTCCCAGAGGAACTCCCGGATTCCTCCTCGAAACTTTCATCTTCATCAGAAGATTCGACCTCATGCTCTCTCTCACGCTCTCCCTCACACTCATACTCTCTCTCACGCTCTCCCTCACACTCATGCTCTCTCTCACGCTCATGCTCTCTCTCTCACAGTCGAATCTTGCTCCCCTCCTTGCTTGCTTTCCGCGCGCCGCTGAACTGTTGCTCCCCTCCTTGCTTGCTTTCCGCGCGCCACTGAACTGTTCCTCCCCTCCTTGCTTGCTTTCCACGCCCTGCTGAACTGTTGCTCCCCTCCTTGCTTGCTTTCGCGCCCTGCTGAACTGTTGCTCCCCTCCTTGCTTGCTTTTCGCGCCCCTCTGAACTGTTGCTCCCCTCCTTGCTTGCTTTCTGTGCCCCGTTGAACTGTTGCTCCCCTCCTTGCTTGCTTTTCCGCGCCCCGCTGAACTGTTGCTCCCCTCATGGCTTGCTTTCCGCGCCCCGCTAAACTGTTGCTCCCCTCCTTGCTTGCTTTTCCGCGACCCGCTGAACTGTTGCCCCCCTCCTTGCATGCTTTCCGCGCCTCGCTGAACTATTACTCCCCTCTTGGCCTGCTTTCGGCACCCCGCTGAACTGTTACTCCCCCCCTTTTCTTGCTTTCCGCGCCCCGCTGAACTGTTACTTCCCCCCTGGCTTGCTTTCCGCCCCCCGCTGAACTGTTGCTCCCCCCCTTGCTTGCTTTCCACACCCCGCTGATCTGTTACTCCCCTCCTGGCTTGCTTTCCGCGCCCCGCTGAACTGTTACTCCCCCCCTTTTCTTGCTTTCCGCGCCCCGCTGAACTGTTGCTCCCCTCCTGGCTTTCTTTCCGCGACCCGCCGAACTGTTGCTCCCGTCCTTGCTTGCTTTCCGCGCCCCGCCGAACTGTTGCTCCCCTCCTGGCTTGCTTTCCGCGCTCTGCCGAACCGTTGCTCCCCTCCTGGCTTGCTTTCCGCGCCCCGCCGAACTATTGCTCCCCTCATGGCCTGCTTTCCGCACCCCGCCGAACTGTTACTCCCCTCCTTGCTTGCTTTCCGAGCCTCGCCGAACTGTTACTCCCCTCCTGGCTTGCTTTCCGCGTCCCGCTGAGCTGTTGCTCCCCTCCTGGCTTGCTTTCCGCGCCCCGCCGAACTGTTGCTCCCTTCCTTGCTTGCTTTCCGCGCCCCGCCGAACTGTTGCTCCCGTCCTTGCTTGCTTTCCGCGCCCCGCCGAACTGTTGCTCCCCTCCTGGCTTGCTTTCCGCGCCGCGCCGAACTGTTGCTCCCCTCCTGGCTTGCTTTCCGCGCTCTGCCGAACTGTTGCTCCCCTCCTGGCTTGCTTTCCGCGCCCCGCCGAACTATTGCTCCCCTCATGACTTGCTTTCCGCACCCCGCCGAACTGTTACTCCCCTCCTTGCTTGCTTTCCGAGCCTCGCCGAACTGTTACTCCCCTCCTGGCTTGCTTTCCACGCCCCGCCGAACTGTTACTTCCCTCGTGGCTTGCTTTCCGCGCCCCGCCGAACTATTTCTCCCTTCCTGGCTTGCT